GAAGCGGGGCTGCAAGGTGAGGACCTTAACCACTGTGCCATCGCGTCGGGCCCAAGGTTATTTTTTTAAAAAGCTAAGCTTCAACTGAAGCACCACTTGCTAAATATCACACAGGTGGGACATGGGTGTGAGCGCAGCAGTGCCAGCCCACGCGAGCTGGCACAACCCTCCTGATAACAGCATGGGCCGTTCACCCAGACACCACTGCCTGGCCCGAGAGACCCAGGACACGAGCTCACCGAACTGACAAAGACTTCAATTTTCACCTGCCAGCAACGCTCAGTGCGCGGACGCCAGGCCGGGCGGGCCTGAAACCCGGTGACAGCCCGCCCCTCCCGGCGCGAGCAAAGGGGCCCCAGGACAGCAGCAGCACACGGAGCTGCACCACAGGGAACCACAGAGAGGAGTGTGAGGAACGCGAGGCACTCCACCCCGACGCCAGGGCCAGAACCACTCCAAGTGGGAGGGGAGGAGCCCACAGGCACCCGGGCGGGCGAGGCACCACCATCCTACCGGCAACGCGCTGCACAAGTGACCCAAACTGACAAAACGATGTGTGGCATGTCTCCCAAAAGACCCCAAATCCTTAACTTCAAAAGCTTCCTCAAGGAAAATGCTGGGCCAGAAGCCTCCCCCTTGGTGAGTTCCTTCCCACGTTTTAGGCAAACACTTCCCACACACCCACCCAGAGGGAGCACCCTAGCCACCCTCTTCCCAGCCAGGCCCCGCAGCCACAGTGGCATTCACCTGCTTCCCAACCCCGCCCTCGCTCCCCCAAACCCTAGTGAGGTGTTCAGGAGGGACACCAACTACAGGCCTCCTAGCGAGACGGCAGCTGGCACGGGGCTACTGCAGAGCTTGCTGGGACCAGGGATGCAGGGATGAGATTTGTGTGAATGGAGACCCAGGGGCCTACACCTCCAGCTAACGGCCTCCCTGCACAGTAGCAGCTCATCCTGAGCCCCCACCCACCGTGCTGGCTGCCCTGACCGCACCTGCAGCAGGGGCGGCCCCCTGACCCGCAGCCTCACACCCCTGCAGCAGGGGTCCCATGGCGGGGTGGTACACAAACCCCTGTCAGCTTGAGTCTCCCCAGCTCTGTTTCCTTCACCTGCCCAGTTCTGTCCACCTCTGGCAAACAGCTGCTGCCATGGCAACCTCACAGTGCCACACACCTGGCCCAGCTACTCCAACAGCTTTGCAGCCAGGCTCCCGCAGCACAGCACCAGTGGGGAGGTGGCTCCGAAGGAAGGAGACCCTCACCTTGTGCTGGGGGGCCCACACCCCAGGTTGATGACTCTCCTGGATCCTCCTCGGTCCTCCCTGTGCTTGTCCCATGGGCTGTCCCTACGTCACTTGGGGATCACAACCCCCTCTTGGCCTGGAACATCCTGAAGGTAGAGTTCACTTCTGGGCCTGGGGGTGGCTGGCCCAGGGCCTGGCCTGAGCATTCCTGGACTGAGGCCACACCCCCTCTGCAGGCCCCCGTGTGGACCTGATCCCTGCGGAGGCCACCACCTTCCTGGGGCGGTCTGCCCCTTGAGGTGCTCACAGTGGGTGGGTCCCTCCCAAGGGGCCGAGCTGAACAGAACCCAGCGGGGAGGGCCTCTTGCTGCCAGGGCAGAGCTCTGACCCACCACTGGGCTCCATCCCTGGGCCACCTGCACTCAGGCTGCACAGCACAGGGCCCATGTGGACCCACAGAAATAGAACCAAGCCCATCCCACGCTGAGGAAAGGGAGGCAGGCAGTATGTGTGGCGGAGGCCAGCTCCCCAGTGTGGCGGAAGCCAGCCCCTCCAGTGTGGTAGAGGCCAGCCCCCCAACGCTCATGCTCCTCCCACCCCAGGATGTGCTGTCTGTGAGCTGGCAGGCCCCCCACCCCAGCTGTACTGATGTGCCAACAGCAATGCCACCTCCCGGTGTTGATGGCCAGTGGGACAAGCACAGGGGCATCTCAGTGCTGGCCAGTGATCAGATCCTGGAGTGAAGGGGCAGCAGGGCCAGGCAGGGGGCTGACCAGAGCCCCAGCTGGCTCCTGGAGAGGGTCAGACCGAATTGGTCTCGTGTCCCCAAGACCTCTGTGCAAACCCCTGAAAAGGGTGACCGCCGTCTCCGTTGCCCTCTGTGAGCCAGGTCCAACTGGAGCCTTGTCCCACTGTCTGAGAGCAAGTGAGGCTCAGCAGGCACAGTGGCGTGTCCAACCCCACACCCAGCCTGTCCTGGCCCCAGAGCCTCACTGTGCTGAGACAGGGCTCGGCTTTGGGCATGGGCACCGCCAGCCCTGACACGCCAAGGGGATCCCTTGGAAGCAGATGTCGGAAACTCAGCTCAACACCAACGGTCCGGTGGCCAGCGGCTTGGCGGGACCCACACCAGCCGGCCGACCCCGGAGCCTGGGTCCATCCTCCGGCCCCAGGCTGGGAGGAGGGGTGCCCTGGGTTGGCAGTTTTCCCTGAGTCACGTGAATGTGCCATGTGTGTGGCCTGGCCCTCAGTCTCTCGGAGTTTCCTCACCCTGCCGGCAAGCGTGTCCCTTCCTGGGCCCACAGAGCAGGAACCACGGGAGAAATGGCGCCCACAGAGACCCAGGGCCAACAAGGGCCACGCAGGGCAGGCCAGGGAAAGCTGACAGCCGTGGGGTCTGCCTTCCTCGGGAGGGATGTCAGGCCCCTGCTGGGCCTGTCGGAGCTGATAGTTCTGTCTCCACACGGCAGCCGCAGGGCAGCCAAGCAGCGCCCACGCGGTAGCAGACAGGCTCTGGGCTGGGCCAGGAGCTGTGCTTGCTCCCGAGCCGAGTGAGGCAGGACGCGCCACGGACCTGTAATTATCCCAGTGCGTGGCGGCAGAGCCCGCTCAACTGGAAACGGCACAGCTATTTCTAACTCTGCTTTCACTCGCTCCTGGCCTGCAAAGTAACTTGGGAAAACGATGCCAATGCAAGGGCCCGAGAGGCTCGGCTTTCCAGAGGCTGCCGTGGTGCTGTCCGGGTGTGCGGCCTTAGTGCTGCTGCCCGCATGGCCTGCAGGCCTCGCTCCAAGAGCCAGGCTCCAAGCTGGCTGACGGGGGCCTCTATTGCTGAGCTCAGAGATCCAGAGGGGACAAAGTGGGTGGCAGCTATGACGGAGTCACCCAGCTGGACAGCCCCAAACTGTCCTCACAGTCCTTAAGGGTGACAGAGCCGTGAGTGGAGGGTGTGGTAGGGGTGGCTGGTGCAGAGCAGGGCAGGCCATCGGCACGGTGGCCAGCAGGGTGGGTGCCGCTGACTTCACAGGCAACACAGGGTGCCTCGGTCGGGCCTGGGAGGACCTGTGGGGCTGGCAGGATGTGCTGCCTGGTGGAGCCAGAGCTGCGGGCAAAGGGCCTTCGTTCAGGTTCCTCGCAGTGCCAATAGTCCACAAAGCTTCATGGCAGGCCATGTTGTCCAGAGGCCACGTGAGAGCCCAGGGAGACCTCCGCTGCCCCGTGTCCAGCAGCGTCCCGACACTGCCCGTTCACAAGGCTGCGTCTGCTGAAACCCACAGCATCTCTACAGTGCATCCGACGCCCAGAGTGGCCCTGGACTGTTCAGCAGGAGACTGCATTATAGCAAGCAAAGTGCACTGCTGACAGCTTGTTCACTCGGGGAATCAGGCGGGGGACGTGTGGCTGGATGGAACCAGTGGACATGCCAGGCAATGTCAGTCCAGAGGTGTGGCTGCGGCCGTGGGGCTGGAGTGCGGTGTGACAGTGGGCAGGGCAGAGCCTGGAGGGCCCACAGGGACGGTCACATCAAGAGATGATGAGGGAGATTGGCACACACAACCTGCTCACTCCTGCCTGAAGCACATGCCACCTGGGACCAGGCACTGCCCCTGTGACTGGGTACCCAAGTGATACGAACAGTGGGGGACAGACTCGTCTTCCAGATCTGCAGCTGTGCGGGACTGCCCCCTCACCACACCCAGTCCCTGCGTGCTGTCCATCTGGGGACCCGACTGTCCCAGCCCCCTGACCATGCCCAGTCCCCACATGCTGTCCATCTGGGGACCCGACTGTCCCAGCCCCCTGACCACGCCCAGTCCCCACATGCTGTCCATCTGGGGACCCGACTGTCCCAGCCCCCTGACCATGCCCAGTCCCCACATGCTGTCCATCTGGGGACCCGGCTGTCCCAGCCCCTTCACCACACCCAGTCCCCACACGCTATCCATCTGGGGACCCGACTGTCCCAGCCCCCTGACCACACCCAGTCCCCGCGTGCTGTCCATCTGGGGACCCGGCTGTCCCAGCCCCCTGACCATGTCCAGTCCCAAATGCTGTCCATCTGGGGGTCCGACTGTCCCAGCCCCCTGACCACGCCCAGTCCCCACACGCTGTCCATCTGGGGACCCGACTGTCCCAGCCCCCTCACCACACCCAGTCCCTACACGCTGTCCATCTGGGGACCCGACTGTCCCAGCCCCCTGACCACACCCAGTCCCCGCGTGCTGTCCATCTGGGGACCCGGCTGTCCCAGCCCCTTCACCATACCCAGTCCCCGCGTGCTGTCCATCTGGGGACCCGACTGTCCCAGCCCCCTCACCACACCCAGTCCCCACACGCTGTCCATCTGGGGACCCGGCTGTCCCAGCCCCCTGACCACGCCCAGCCCCCGTGTGCTGTCCATCTGGGGACCCGACTGTCCCAGCCCCCTGACCACGCCCAGCTCCCGCGTGCTGTCCATCTGGGGACCCGACTGTCCCAGCCAGAAGCCTGGAGGAGCTCTCAGGCCTAACACGTGCACAGCCACACTGGACCACCCCTGTGGGGAAACCTGGATGCCCCTCGCAGACCTGCCCTTTGCCCTGGGCCGCTCTGGAGATGCCCTCACCCTGGCAGTCTGGGTTTCTCTAGCCAACGTGTGAGTGCTGCTTCCCTTGCTTTGTCTCCACCAGCCGTGCTGGCCCCAGCCTGGCCGCCCTGGAGGTGCCCGGCTTAGCCCCAGGTCCCTGTTAGTGTTGCTGGCGGCCGCAGAGGCCTACCTTGAAGATGAGGCAGTCTGCCTTGTGCTCGGCGTACTGGGAGGTGAGCCGGTACTGGTTCTCGGTGGTGATGTCAATTTGGTAGCCGGTGAGCGTGTAGCAGGCTTTGCGGAACTCTTGGATCTTGGTCTGGAAGACCTCCTTGAGCCGCTGGTTCTTCAGCTGGGCACTTTCCACCTGCTTCCGCAGCTCTGCAAGGGATGGCAGGGCGGGTTAGCTCCAGGCAGGACCCTACAGAGCCCCGCGACCCCCACAACCTCTGGGTTATCCGAGTCAGGACCCTGAAAACACAAAGTGAACTGTGCCCGGTAGCTCCTGGTGGAGCCAGGAGCTTGGGCCGCTCCCGTGACCTGGGCTTCCCAGCCGCTAGAACGACCAACAGCCAGTCCTGTCACTGCCAGGGGCTGGCCTGGAGGGCTGGATTTGCCCAACTGGCAGTGGAAGTGCCAGTAAGTTGGGTCTGGAGTAGAGGGCCTGGGCACAGCCTGTTCCACCTGGGCCTGGCAACTCTCTGGCTGCTGCCCAAGTCCTTGTCGGGGGTTACCTATCTGCCTTGGCCAACACAGCCCCTGGCAGAACAACAGCCGCCCCTGCAGCATGGGGCTCCAGGCAGTGTCCCTTGGCCGAGGGTCCAGAGCCGTCCGCAGAAGGGCAGATGCGGGGACCACTTTCCTAAGCAAAGTGACAGTGTCCCCTCCAACGTGGTTCCTGCGCCCCCAGCAGAATGTAACCTGCCTCTGAGGAGCAGATGGCCCAAGCCTCAAAGCACACAGGGACAAGCTGCCGGAGCCGCCTGGGGCCCAGGGCCAGGGCCTGAGGCTTGCGGTTGTGCCATCCCAGGCGCAGCCCTGGCTTCTGCAGTTACCGCCCAGGAGCTGAGGCAGCTGCAGACATGTCCCACGGGGGACAGAGCACTCTTGTTCGTGGCAGGTTGTAAAACCTGCTCGGGCAGTGCTGGGGTTTCGGAGGCCAAAACCAGAGAAGGGAACTCAGGTGTCACCATCATAAGCCGCTGTGGCCGAGCCCAGCGTGGGCACACGGCCAGTGCACAGGACGGGCCCGTGGGAACAGTGTCCTGTGGACACCGTCTGCAGCCGACACCCAGATGAGGGTGTGAACGACCCTCTGTCTTCATTGTCACGAGACCTAGCGGGCTGACAGGTCGACTCCACTTGCAGCCTCCTAAGGACTTCTCACATAGCCTTCCCACCCGGAGTCCCCAGGGCAGTGTCAGCCCACGGAGAACACGGAACCCTGGCAAGTCGTGGCTGGAGAGCGCAGCATGGAGGGCCAACTCCCAGGACTCCCTCGTCTGAGCTCTTCCCACCAGGGCTGGCCCAGACCTCGGGGTAGCACCAGCACAGAGCAGGGGCACAGCTCTCCACGTCGGGGTGACCGGTGCAATGGCCTTAGTCAGGCTTTGGACATGAGGGGTGGGGCACTCCCGGCAGGCCACAGGTGGCATGGCCCTTGAGGGCCCTGCATGAGAGTCAGGAGTTGGTGGGCACAGAAGGTTTCCAGGGGCTGAATTATTTATCTCTTGCAAACTTCTAAACTACACTACTCCAGTTTTACATTTTAAATATTTAATAATTGGCCATCAAATATTCACACAGCTTTGTCAGTGACCGTGGGACTGACACGGCAGCCACAGCCAGCCAGGGGCACAGGGAGTTGCCCCTCAGGCTGGCTCGGTGTGTAGTGGCCCTCTAGGACACAGCCAGCAGGGAGGCTGAGTCTGGTCCCAATGGAGCCAGTAGCATTGCCCATCTCAAATGCTAACTCCGGTGGACACCCCAAGGCGCTGGGCAGCGGGACCTAAGTGAGCCTGCAGGGGATGGGGTGCCTTCAAAGTCTCCCTGTGCAGGGCTGGGAGGGTGGACAGCCTTTGCAAGGGGGGGTGCAGCTCAGCAACAGGTGGACAGGGCACCCCTCTCAGCAGCAGGGGCCCTGCAGCAGTGGTAACTCTGCCAGGCCCAGAGGTGCCGCGAGCCTGGGTCCCCCTGCTGGGCCTGAACCTAGAGACAAACGCCTGCTCTGGAATCAGATGCAGATGAGGGAGGCGGCCGCGTGGCTCTCCAACAGGGCATCTCTGTGTGATTAACGGTTCACTCCAGCAAGCAGCCTGTCACCCTGCACAGACACCAGCAATTACAGCTGACAGGCGGGCGCTGCTTTCCTCATGGCACCGCTCCTTCCCCACCCCCACTGCAGAGCGCTGGCGGCTGGGAGGGCCCCCAGGAGAGGGGCAGCAGGCCTACCCCGGGGGAGGGGGCAGTACCCCACAAAACCAGCTCCAGCTCCTCCTTGGACACGGTGCACTCCTGCTGAATGTTCTGGCCGCTAAGGCCTGGTGTGAACTTGGAGCTCTCAGCACAGCAAACCCCACATGCCTCCCTAGGGGACTGCTGGTGTAGGTCTGTGCCTCCCTGGTGGGGGCTGGGCTGGCATGGGCCCTGGCTCTCTGCTCCGAGGAGCTGTGGGCATCAAGGGCACCATGACAGGACCCCACCCCTGAATGGACGGGAGTCGGGCTGGCCAGCGGTGGGTCCTGACCACGAGGGCTGGTGCCGTGTGTTCTCGCCGCATGGCCCACTGGAACAGGCGCAGGACCTGACCTCACATGACCTTCTCTGTCCTGAGTGTGAAGGGGCAAACAGTGACCAGTGGTGACAACCCAGCATGCTGGGGTGGGAAAAGGGCAGGAGAAGGGGCACCAGCAGCAGTGAGGCAGGCAAGGGCCCTGTGGCATCTGGGCGCCTCTCAGCTGCTGGGCCACCCCTGTGGCGGGCACTCGCAGGCACGCACACAGCCAGGGCTCTGCACTGGGCACTCAGGTGTGACCCCCCCTGCTCTGGGCCTGCTCAGAGTGGTCCTACGAGGGTTGCTCTGAGTGGACGGCAGTTCTGTGTGTGGGTGCTCATTCCGGGGCCGGATGGACAGAGGGGTCTAGGGATCCCAGCAGAGCCCTTGGTCCGGCCCCCTGGCCTCCCTTGCCCAGCTGCAGGGTGGAGACAGCGCCCCTAGCAGCTGGGCATCCAAGGCTCACTTCTCAGCCTCTAGGGACAGCAGAGGGTCAGCAGTGTCCCCAGCTTCAGGAGGGACAGTCCCCAAGCCAGTGCTGTCCACAGACACCTCGGAACCCCTGGGACTCACGGACACATACACAGCCAGCTGAGGCAGGGAGCACAGCTGCTGGGGCCATGGTCCCAGAAGCTTCCTTCCAGGAAACAGCCTGCAGAGTGGACCAGGGCAGCCCGCTGGCCAGAGGGCCTCCAGGAGCCTGTGTGCCATGGACCTGTGCACACCTCCCCGGTAGGGGCAGGCACGCTGTGCGAGCTCATCTCAGACTGAGTCACCATCGAGTCGATCTGTCCGCTCCCGGCAGGATGAGGGCTGTAAATCTCTCAGTTTGTGAAAACCTGCTGGTGCAGGCAGCAGCGTCACCGGAGCTCAGTCAACAGCGGAGTAAGGAGCGAGAAGGTTCTGGAAGGAGGTGGCAGAGGAGCCCCCAGGCTGCTACAGCAGGCCTGGACAGCCTAGGTTCTGGGCAGGGAATCCCTGGCCCTGAGGACCACAGAGGACAAGTGGATGAAGACTTGTGTCCACGGAAGTTGCACTCCCATCAGGGGACACAGAAGGTCAGTGAGGCGGGCAGAAGTGCGCTGAAGGAAAGAGCAAAGCAGGGGACACGGAGCAGGGGACACAGAGCAGGGGACGTGGAGCAGGGGACGTGGAGCAGGGGACACAGAGCAGGGGACACGGAGCAGGGGACGTGGAACAGGGGACGTGGAGCAGGGGACGTGGAGCAGGGGACACAGAGCAGGGGACACGGAGCAGGGGATGTGGAACAGGGGACACGGAGCAGGGGACACGGAGCAGGGGACACAGAGCAGGGGACACAGAGCAGGGGACGTGGAGCAGGGGACGTGGAGCAGGGGACACAGAGCAGGGGACACGGAGCAGGGGACGTGGAGCAGGGGACACAGAGCAGGGGACACGGAGCAGGGGACACGGAGCAGGGGACGTGGAGCAGGGGACACGGAGCAGGGGACACGGAGCAGGGGACGTGGAGCTGGATGCAGCTTGCTGAGCAGGGACTGCTAACGGGCTGGAGGGAAGCCAGGGAGTGAAGCAGCAGGGACGGGCGGCTGCAAAGTGGGAAGGGCACACATGGAAGGCCTGAGGCGGACAGGAATGTGCCCACCCCATGGCACCAAGGGAAGCCGGGGCAGAGTCACTGACCCAGAGGGGAGGCCCAATGAGAAGGCAGCACCATGTGGGAGGCAGGAGGCTGACATACCAGCAGGGCAGGAGACAGTACCCCCAGGCAGTGCTCCTGGACGGTGCGGGCACTCAGAGGGAACCATGGCACAGGACTGCATGGCCCCAGGCACTCTGCAATAAGTACCATGATGGAGACAGAGAAGCTTCTGGAAAGAACACCAGGGACCACCATGCGGGGGAAGGATGGGGGAACAGCCGTATGCAGAAGATGGATGGACCAGACCTCAGCAACATTAACAATGCTGCTTATCCAAAGCGAGCACTTTGAAAATGATTACAAGACAAACAGCTCAATTAAAAACCAGGCAGAGATTTAGGGAGACATTTTGTGGAAGAGATGGGAACATGTTCCCTGGCCATCAGTCATGGGGAGTGCGGGGCAGGTGGTTGTGGAAGCCCACACCCTCCCAGCTGTACGTGCAGCCCACGGAGGCCCGTATTGCACTGCTCACAGTGGCACCATGCAGACCCACCAGCCAGTGGTCAGCACACAGTGTGGCCACAGACGATGCGACCACGCAGCTGCGAGTCCCCGTGAAGGCCCATGAGCACTGCCAGAGGCTGCGAGGGGAGCACGTGGTCCTTTCCGGGGCAGGCAGAACTGTGGGGAGCCCGGTACCCTCGGGGTGGGACTGGGAGACTTTGAAGGAGGGACAGAGATCCAAGCTCCTGTCTGCCACGCCAGAGCCAGCTGCTCAGAGCTCCACCTAGGGCTCCCGGGGTAGGGGTGTGGGGACCTGCTGCTTACCACCGCGCACGTGAGCAGATGTAGGGCAGTCCCCGTACCCATCCCACAGCCCGGCCCCACCCCCCACCTAGCCGAGAGCCATCCCAGGCTATCTCTAGCCCACAGTGCCCAGTGTCCACAGCTGCTGAGCAGCGGGCAAGGGGTGTGCCAGCCTGT